TCAGGAACTCAGACTTTCCACCGTGTCTTCAGCTGCCAACAGGCCCATCCACCTTGGCTACAACAGTTTGGTCAACTCACACTTGCTCTCCTGCAGGGCACAGCAGGATAGCCATGCTCTGCAGACAGGTTGACACTCTTCAGGAGACATATGAGTTTATAAAAAGGAAAAAAAAAAAGAGCAAGTATATATTTCATTAAGTCTCTTAATTTTCAAAATAACCCTAAAGTGCAGCATTACTCTATATGTAGTAGGACTTCTGGGAATCTTGTGCTCCATCCTATCAAACAATGGTTTACTTCCTAATGGGAAATGATGCTTGACTTGTTTTCCTTTGTTTTTCCTATCAAATGTTGGTTGCCAAGTTTCTGTCCAAATGTTCAAAAGATAAACTGTTTACAGGCACTAACTGAGGCAAGTCAGACTAAAAGGGGGGTGTCAGTCATGCAAGAAATAGCAGAGAGTAGGTCTTCATGTAATCAGGATGTTTTTGCATGTGTGACTCCCCCCCCCCGAAAAAAAAAGCTAATATGGGACAAGTACAAAAATAAAATGAATCAAAGAATAATTAATATTAATCATCTTGCACATTAGAAAACTTTGGCAGAAAAAAATAATATGCCAAGTGCAGTACTTGGTCTCATGATACATTGGTCTCCCTTTCTCCAGCACAAACACATGCACCAGTGTTTCCTCTGTCCCTCAGATACCAGAAGCATTTAGCAGTGTGACCTTGTGGAGAATCCATGACTCCTGGACAAACAAGATGGTCAAGTCAACAGCATTCGGGGGTTTCAAGGAAAAAGGTAGAAGACAAGAAAGGCCAAAAGACATTGGTAACTTAAAGGAATGAATCTGACCTGTTTTGCCACACAAACTCAAATAATTAAACCAGCCAATTCTCTGAAAAATTACTTAGCTGTTCAGCTGGTCTCCTCAGTACAAGAGCTTGGAGCAACTGGAAAGCAAAACATCACATGGTTATTTTCAGCAGTGGACAAACCCATCTTAGAAAATACAGCTGTGAGTTTTTCTCTGCAGAGCGTAATTCTTTCTTTTTCAATAGCAAACTCACAGTTCAAAATGTGTTATTAAGCTTCCACTAGTGTTATTTGGGTCTCAACAGCATAAAACTTTAAGTGCCAGCCAAGCTTTTACCAGATTATTATGGACTTGAAAAGAATATACCCACTTTCTTGCATTTTTTAGTAAATACTAGACACAGAATAGGAAAAATTTCTTCCCAAATATAGAGCAGGTATTTCTTTTTTCATTACCTGTGATAACTGTTGGTAAATATCATTTGAAAAACCATCTTCTCCCTACACTTTGTTTGCTATTATATATTTCATAAAATTTTCTATTATTTATATCCCTATTTTCTGATTGTTTTCATATTCTTTATTGCTTTGTAACTATAGAAGAAGCATTATTTTCTGCTATTTTACTGGTTGCACTTACAATAAATGTAATTGTCTCCTTTCAATTTCTAAACTGGATTTGTTGCCTATATATCTGATTTCCTATCTTGTACAGTACAAAGCAGTGACTCCATAACAAATTTTTGAGAGTCTGACAAACATCTAATGATACACATCTTTGCAAACTATCACCAGTGACTAAGCCTTTTGGAAATTATTTTTCTTCTTCTCAGTAGTGGTTTCATTTCCCTGATACATCAGAAACAAACTAACAGGCACTCAGGAAAAAAAAATAAATTTAGCAAGAACAGTTTAGATATGCAAGAAACAGCTAAATAACATGCACATTCATGTTTTCAAATTGCACAGAGATAGGACCTACAGTTTTGTCATCTAACATCCCCATACATTAACAAGCATTTCAAATAGTTTTGGAAATGAGACAGATGCCAGGCTGAATTCACCTGGGCTGTGGGAACATCTGTGCTCAAAATCTGGCAGGGTCCTTGTCTACCCCAGGTCTGGAAATGCAGGTCCCTCCACTCCCTTTCACCTGCCTTGATGTGCACCTGACCCACCTGGGTCTAGTCAGAGCCATCTCAATACAGGATTTCCTTCCCGTAAGAATGCAACTTTTATGAATAAAATTTTCTGTTCTGCCTAGTCCCCACACTACAAAATGAAACAGCTTGCCTAAATGTTCCCTGCTAAGTCTATGCAGGCAACCACAAAGCCAGCAAAGAGTGGAAGAATGAGATGCTGACAAGACACTTCCCTCTGTAGCTGATCCACTGGTATCAGTGGCTGCACCTCACGTGTCGCAGTCCAGGACGTGCAGGTCTCACCTCGTTATGGGGCCAGTGTGTGCAAAAGCATTCCAGGTCCTCCAGTTTACATGTAGCTGGTGAAATATTTAGGGAAAGAATGCTGCTCTGCCCAAGCTTTCATAACAGCCAATAAATTAAAAAACAAAACAAAACAAAAAGTTTAAATCAAATACCAGTAAAGCAAAATATTTGTAGTTTGCTAAGACCAGTTAATTCTTCCCACTGTGAAAGCAATGTGTGATGCTTTAAATCTAGGATGCTGCAGCTTCCGAGATGGCATGATTCATGGAGTTTGGACAAACATCACTGTCACTTCCTTGGCCACCCTCTACAATGATACAACTAACGTCCACACAGATGGAAACAAATAAAAGGGAACCAAAAAAATGTCAGAGAACGAGGCATTTCAGTTCAAACTAAATCTTTATTCATATGGAAAATACTACTTTTCTTTTTTTGCAAATGATGCTAATAAATAAAAATACTCAGAAAGAACTTTGCTCAGTTAAGTGACTAGTAACAGCCACACGAAGCTTTTAATTCCCATTAAAACCACGCCAACAATCATGCAGATTGGCTACGAGAAAGCAATATAAACTATATTTTATTTTGTGCAATCTTATCGTACAATCTTAATGCTACCTTCTTCTAAACCATTTCACACCATTTGAAATGCAATTTCAAAACAAATTTTAAGGAACATATTCTACATTTATTCCACATATGGAGCTGTGGATAGCTTAAGCCCATAAATGTATAATGTAGTTAAGCATCTAATGAAGGTAAAAGAAGAAAGGACCCCATTCTGAAAATTCAGACACATTTATAAACATAAGAGAAGGAAAGCTCACACCGTGAGTTCTTAACAGACAAATAGATTATTAAAGCATAACAATAAATTATATTAAATTTGATAACATTGATCCTTAGAATGGTTATTTCTGAGGAAATATCACTTAAAAAGCACACCAAAACTTTCATCACTAGGAATGAAACTGAAATTTTACATATCTCAATTTCCCACTTGGATGCAATTTTGTTTTATAATAGGCTTCAGATTTGTGAGCATATTCTTTATCATACATCTAAAAACAAATTGAAAAAAGGTTGCAGTTAAGCTGTGCATCAAACACGTCATCAAGGTGAGAAACAGGCACTTGACAGTATAATGTGCAAGGCAAAATCTTTACTGGTCACAGTATAAATAGTTTCTTCAGGAGTGAAATGAAAAGTTCTCAGCCCGTCTTTAAGAGCTGCTAACAGATCTTTTTCTGTTCTTTTAAGTCAGCACCAACAACCAAACTAAATACTAGCTCATGCCTTAAAGGGTATTCCATAAACTATAAAATGCAGCATACTTTACCCAAGAATACTAACTCCTTCCTATAATTAACCTCAGTGTATGTATTTGCCCAAGGCAAATACAGAGTTTACTCACAGACTAAATGATGCAATATAAATGCTAACCTTTTCTCTATTAGTATTTTTTCAATAACTAATGCCAGTTTTACAAATATATTTGCCAGTTGTTGCAAGATCCGGTTTTGTAGCAGAAAAAAATCAATGTTCTTTTATATAAACTTAAGAACAATGTCTTTTAATATCCTATTAATAGCAGGGGAAAAAAAAAACAACCCAAACCATTTTGTTACAGTTTCCCTTCAGGCACATCTCAGCAGGAATCTCCAAAAAATAGCTATGTAGGAACTTTAAGCCAGAAAACTCTACATGAATTGGAGGGAGGAGAAAAAGAGAGCTAAGGAAGGAGTAATGTGGCAGTAACAGAAACAAGGTACAAGCTTAGAAAAAAATGGCATGCATCCCTTTCCATCAGCATAAGCTTCTTGCAAAAATATGTTTACAAGACATCTGTTATATAAAGGCATATACTTTCTTGTAAAAATGCTGATTTTCTCTGACATGCTAGCTTGATCTTCCAGCTGTACTGGCCAGATCGCTAGGCAGTCAAGTTTTCAGTTCAGTTGAAAAATCAGGAGAGAAAAGGCCTACTGTTCATTTCCTAGGAAACTTTTGGGTTGATTTTTACCCATGAATGTTAAAGTAGCATTTATGTGGATCATATAAACAAAATAGAAACCAACTTTGGATCTGGCATCAGCTGCACCGCTAATGAGAGACAATAAGCTAAAAAGAGGCACTTTTATTAGTCATATATACATTTCAAATCTCAAGTTTAACACTTCACCTACTTTTACCAAAAAAATCAAAATATCAGTAGCTAATAAAGCGGAGCTTTATAACAAAAATGCTTCAGAAGTTGTGTGTATGCACACACTTGCAATGGCTCAGTTACTCTGCTACCCTGAAAATGCCAGAGTATAATTCGGTCATTGCTTATGGGGTGGGGGGGAAAGAACAACACAGCAAAGAACAAAAAAGTTGTGTCTAGAACAAGGATCAGCTAATGTAAAAAAATGAGAACATATGCCCTTCCATAAGAAGCAACTTATACCTAGATCCAGATTCAATATCCCCCAAGAATATCAAGATCATCTTATGCTCTACTCACTGCCGCTTTCCAAATTTTCAATCATTTTTATTTTTGGCATAACATGCATCTTAAAAACTGAAAAACTTAGAATTGTCAAAAAAAATAATTCAATATTAAAAGAAAAGCAAAAACCAAACTAAAAACACCCCAAAACCAAACAAAAACCCCACCAAAAACCAACACAAAAAAACCCCCAAAACCAAACAAAACCAAACCAAAAACAAACAAAAAACCCCAAAACAAACAAACCAGAAAAAAAACCCAAATGCTCACTCCCCCCTCAAACAAACAGGAAAAAAACCCACCAAAATCCCCCCCCGAATTCTGGAAGACCCATTTGACCTGACTATTGGTGACAATATTCTAATGGAAGGAACTACATTAGAATAGTATTTTCCCACTTCATACACAGTATAGTACATTGTGACAGTAAGCATCTTGTGTGCACAAGCTGAAGCATATGCTGAGGCTGAAGATTTGGGAAAACAGTCTACTAAGTACAAGCATTCTCCCTGCAAGCAACAGGTCAGTATTCTTGGTTAAAAAGGGACAGCATCAAAACTAAAATTTTGAGTGACCCTCAAACATCAGAAAAGAAACAGGACTCGAGCTAGTGGAACTTCCTACATAAGGCAGTCAAATTTACAACCAGTGTATACATTCACTAAGGAATTACTTTTTTTTTGGTAAAACCAACAATCCAACATACTGCAAAGTCTGAATGTGAAATATAGGCACAAAATAGATTCTCTACTTTTTTTTCAGAGTGGAAAACATAGCTATTTAACAATGTAATAAGAAAATTTACTATCAGGTGAGCAAAAATTTGTAACAATCTGAATAAAACAAAGTACTGTATAAAGGTGCAAGATCGAGCAGATTTGATTTTGGTTTAAACATATGAGTAAATCATGGAATCTTTCTCTTCTTATCTATAAAGTATTTCACGTTACCAGTATCATTCCAGCTCTTCCCAGTTGTCAGTAAGGTTACCTTTGCTTTGACGTCTAATACTAACCAGCTTTCCCGCTGATTTGATACTCCACCGGGAACTGTTTCCTGAGCTGGCCAGGTTTGTGTATTTTGTGGAGCCTTTGGTTTCATCTTCCCAGCCTGACCAGGCTGCATAGTCACTTAAAGGAGTTGCTGCATTGCTGGTAGAGTCAGCAGTGCTAATCTGTGGTGGTTCCCATCCCTCAATCTCATCTGGTTTCCTAGGTGGAACATTCTGCTTTATCACCAAACTGTCCCAAAAACCTGGCTTCTTTTCAGACTTCATCTCTTCCTTTAACTTTAGATTTGTTCTACAAAAAAACAACAGTGCAGTGATAAATTTCTTCATTTTACAATGCATGTAGTAGTTATTAATAAGCATTCAATTAATTTATATATTTTACAGTCAGGGATGCTAATGAGTTGTCTAATTATCCATTACTGTCAACTTCAGGAAAAACACCATCATATGCATGTAAGCCTAAACACTGCAGAATCTTGCAGTGATAAATCAGAGGAGGACTGAGTGTGGTCATTTCCTACTATAAAAGAACTTACATACATACCATCACCCCCACCAACACCCCCCAGGGGTGAATTACACAGAACTGCCTTTGGAAATGTACCAAGTATTTTAGGATGCATTATAACTATTTAGGACTTTAACAAAAAAAACCAGTACAAAACAAATAAACAAAAAACAAACCAAAACAAAAAAAATCTCCAGAGGTAGGCTAATGGAAGGAATATGAAAATGTCCTTTCTGACACCAGCTTTAACACTCACTCACTATGTCCCTCAGTTTCATATTCCTGTCTCCCCCTTGCCAGTTAAACCTTATACCCTAAAATAGTTGATGTACTGTTAGGACAGTATTAGGACTTTAAAGATACCAGCTGTATCTACACAATATTGTGAAAACAGCTGTTTTGTACTTCTGGTAAGAACTCCCAAAATCTCCCTCCCAAACCCAAGAAATAACAACCTTTACTGTAACTTCTCTCTCAAAGAGACATTTGTAAGGCTACTCATATTACTTATCCCATTAAGAATCTTCAGTCTTAATAATTTCATAATTGCAGCTGGAATATTTAAGTTACAGAAATGTCAAATGTTTACAGTTAATTTTCTATGCAGGGTTATGTACGTAATCATATAATGGGTCACAAGGATAGGCTGAACACCAGTGGTGAAACACACAACCTTCAGGGTTCAATGAGCTAAACAGCAAATTGAAAACATTATCCACTAGTAGCATATAAATTCCTTAGCCACAACTAAACCCACTACTAAATCTTCTTCTAATATTTCTATTAAAAGAGCTTTTTTCCATCCATGAAATCTTTGCTCCCTCATATTTAAATAGAAGCAACTCAATCAATACCTTTAAAATTACTTTTCCTTTACTGAATTTTGAATTTATGATTACTCAGAATTTTCATCATGCTAAAAACAGTCACATATTCCAAACACTTTTCTTGTATTTCGTAAGCAGTGCACTTGAAAAGTTCCATTTTTCTTTAAAAGTAAAGTAAAAAATGTGGTATACAGTTAAAGAAAAATATCCTAAACTTAAAAAACAGGCAGTTTTCATAATAATACCAAAATAGCTTTCCACATCTGTGGTAACTCTGTTTAAATACTTTTGCTCTCTTCACTGTGTTACTTGATTCTTATATTCAGCATCAATTGCAAGCATCATTAGAGGAGCCTAGCATCTTAGTAACACCCGTAAAAGTGTACACAGATAGCTGGGAACTTTTGTGAAGTTTTATTGAACAGGCTCAAATGGAAGTGTAAATATATGCTTTTATATTCTATGTTGTTTATTTATATGCAAACACCCCCTACATGCAGGTCTATACCCTTGCATTTTAAAACACATATATTTCAAAGTAAACTGGAAACAAAGCATACTACAGAAAGTCTTATCAAAACTAATATTTGGCTGGAACAGATCTACTGATTTGTGGCACACTTGGTTTGTACCCAGTGTAGTTAGGTAGTACATGAAGGTAAAACCTACATATATTTGTAACAGCAAAATAGTCTGTTCTGGGAAGAGATCTGTTCTGTTCAGAGAACAGCTCCAATCATGTCAGCAGCAGAACTGCCCCAAGTAACCACCTCAGCTCCGACAAGGAAGACTTGCAGATCCTAGTACAGCTACCCCACTTAACCTTTTTAGGTGTAGTAAGACTTCAAAAGAGAAAGTAGGGCATGTAAAAAAAGGAATTTGTAAACTCAACCATAATTAATCTTTAAGAGGAAAGACAGAGGGTAAGAATGACCTTTTTACTCAGAAGCCTTTACTCCTTTTCTACAGTAAAAAAATTATTATGTGGTTAAATTCCCTTTTCTTCCTGACAAACCTAAAAACGTTAACAACATCTGTCCTTTCCAAATACAGCATGCCTTATTCATTGTAAGCCTAACATATACATAACTCTGAAATGCACCTAAACCTTTCTTTGCTGATTTGACTTCCAGGAGTTGAACACTACTGTTCTCAGTGTCTAGCTTCATTACTTTGCACAGCTATTTTCTGTTACAGTGAGTGCATTTTAATAGCAGATAGACCACTTGGTTTTACTTACCCTTTGGATTTTGGAGACTTGCATCCTGCTAGCAATTGCTGTTCATCATCTTTATTGAACATAGACGTCACTTCCTTCCAACCCCGGAAACTTGCACCTTGAACCTATACAGAGAAGTAAACATTCTCATAAATGTGAATCAGACCTACAAGCACAGAGTACGACTGCCACTGCTGGCTCTGGGTGGCTGATGGGCAGCAGCAGCCCTGTCTCCTGTCTCCGTGTGGTGCTGCTGGGAGCACAGCGGCTCGGTACAGCTGCAGAGAATGGCCATGCTTTGGAAAAGAGCTGGTTGGGTTACTGCAGCAAGAGCTCCTTCCTGCTAAGAAGAGAATATAAAACATTGATGATTTTGTGATGTCAGTGAGTACAGCTGGGCTACTGAATGTTCTGCCGGCAGGAACTGCTTGGCTCCATTTTAGTATATCACAGTAAGAAGGGAATCTAGGAAGCTTCTAAGAAAGTCTAAAGAGCTTCAGTAGACAAATGAAATAAACTGTCACTGCTAGAAGGGGTCACAACAGACAGGACAGCCACATGAATTATGAAACTCTTAAGATTTAACCCCAAAACTACAGCTTCTGGACCTGCAAGCAAAAAGGGTAAGAGCATTAGCTCACCAGTGACATGTAACATGTGACACTAGTGCACTACAGTGGGTTCCCTAAATTTCCTGTGACCGTTAAGCATGCAGCATAAATTACTTTTTCAACTTTATTAAAGGTCTGAACCTCTCTCCCCAGTGTGAAATAAAGAGGTATAGGTTATTTTTACTTTGATAGCATGCTTATAAAAAATGCATGCACAGAATTTGAAAGCTGTTGTTCTTCCTCACAGAGTCCAGTAAGAATGGTAGTGCCAGTCAGTCAGTGTTACCTGATTACATTGAAATAGTTGTCAACACAAGCAAAGGCTAATTCATCACCTATTATTATGCTTCATCTTGCTTCATCCTTTTTGCAGAACTCAGAGGTGCAAATTAGTATCAATTTGCCATTTAGGTTTTAACTGATTATAGTTTAACTGGTATGTCCACATAGGCCTTAAAACATGTAAGATGTCACCTACCAGTTGAGCACAAAAATCAGACAGGAAAATACTGGTACTGCCAACTCCTCACCTTTCAGAAACCCACAGGCTCTACCATTCACAGGATTAACACAGCACCCTTGTTACAACATGCTAGTCATGGAGTATTTCCATACCTTGTTCTCCTGTTTTACTGTGTCCTGTGCTTTCACTTCTCACCCACCTTCCCTACTCACATCTGAACTGCTTCATCTACTCCAACTCAGAGGCACAGAAGGTCTGTTTTAGGATCAGGAGGAAGGTCTAGCCTAGCCTCTGTCACTTTGGAAAGATACAAACATGGATCCAGCTATGGGCAAAGCACTGGAGAACTCTGAAGAGGGAAGGCTGAGCAAGCCCAGAGCAGTTTCAAGCTCTTGTTTATGGGATATGGACAGACCTGGTACACAAGAGCCAGGTTCACCACAACTCACCTCTTCCTACATCCATGCCTAATCTTACTGTAAACCACAGCATTCCTCATGGCTTCATAAAATAAAACAACAGCTTATACATATATTTTTTTCCCACTCTGACAATAAAATTAATAAAGCTTATAATAAGCAAACCCTCATGTTTAATTTAAACATACACTTTTATTTTTATTAAGTTAAAAATATGTAGATACTACATAAAAATATGTAGCATAAAATAAAACCAGGCAAGCTGCAGATGATACCTTCAGATACCTTGCTATTCAAAATCCTCGTGTTTAACTATCAGCCTCTTCAAGCAGTACTCAACATTTAAAGTTTCTGTGGTGCAAATGATGGTCTAAGCATTCAATTTTAGTCAATGAAGGCCTAATACTCTTACTTGTTTTAGTTGTTCAAGTAAATTCTCTAAAAAAATTCACGTGAGGATTTGTTACTCTGACTGGGCTTCCTCTCACTGCACAGTACTTTGTCCACAACAAACTTCCATAAAAACGAAGAATTTCAGGAAGTCGACTGTTGAAGGAAGTAATCCATTTTAAAACAAGAAAGAACAAAACAAAACAAAATAAAACAAAAATTTAAAAGACAGAAAAACTTGAGAAAGCACTTAGCTTTTCATAGGTTAAAAATATCCTTCATCTTCCTTGAGTCCGTAGGTCCTGAGGGAACTGGCAGAGGAAGTAGCTAAGACACTATTCATCATATTTGAAAAGTTGTGACAGTCCAGTGAAGTTCCCACTGAGTGGAAAAGGGGAAATATAACCCCCAATTTTAAAAAACAGAAATAAGGAAGACTGGGGAACTACAGGCCAGTCAGTCTCACCTCTTTGCCCACCAAGATCACGAAGCAGATCCTCCTGGAAAGTATGCTACAGCACATGGAAAATAAGGAGGGAATTGGTGACAGCCAATATGGCTTCACTAGGGGCAAATTCTGCCTTTCAAATCTGATGGCCTTCTATGACTGGGTTACAGCAGTGCTGGCTGAGGGGAGAGCAAATGTCCTCTACACAGACTTCAGCAAAGCATTTGACACAGTCCTGCACAATATTTTTGTCTCTAAACTGGAGACACACGGATTTGATGGATGAATCACTCAGTGGATAAGGAATTGACTGGATGTTTGCACTCGAAGAGTTGCAGTCAACGGCCCAATGTCCAAGAGGAGACCAGTGATGAGTGACATTCCTCAGGGGTTGGTACTGGGACTGGCACTGTTTAATATCTTTGTCAGGGACATGAACAGGGGGATTGAGTGCACTCTCAGCAAGTTTGTGGATGACACCAGGTGGGGTGTCATTGACACGCTGGAGGGAAGGGATGTCATTCAGAGGGACCTTGACAGGACAGAGGTGGGCCTCATGAACCTCATGAAATTCAACAAGGCCAAGTGCAAGGTCCTGCAGCTGGGTGGGGCAGTCCTAATCACAAATACAGGATGGGTGGAGAACAGATTGTGAACAGCCTTGAGAAGAAGGACTCAGGGGTGTTGGGTGACAGCAAGCTCAACATGACTTGGCAATGTGTGCTGGCAACTCAAAAAGCCAAAGGCATCCTGGGCTGTATCAAAAGCAGTGTGGCCAGCAGGTCAGGGGAGGTGATTCTCCTCCTCTACTCTGCTCTCATGAGACCCCACCTGGAGTGCTGTGCCCAGCTCTGGGGCCCTTGACATAATAAGGATGTGAACCTACTGGAACAGGTCCAGAGGAGGCCACAAAGATGCTCAGAGGGCTGGAGCACCTCTGCCATGAACACAGGTTAAGAGAGCTAAGGCTGTTCAGCATAGAGAAGAGAAGGCTCCAGGGAGACCTTAGAATACCTCCAGTACCTAAAGGGGGGACTATAAAAAAACCAAAGAGGGACTTTGGATAAGGGCATGTAGAGAGAGGACAAGGAGGAATGGCCTTAAGCTGAAGGAGGGTAGGTTTAGATTAAATATTAGGAAGAAATTCTTTACTGTGAGAGCCACGAGGCACTGGAACAGGTTGCCCAAAGAAGGTGTGGATGCCCCATCCCTGGAATCATTCAAAGTGAGGTTGGATGGGGCTTTGACCAGCAACCTGATCTAGTGGAACGTGTCACTCCCAGGGCAGGAGGGTTGTAACAAGATGAACTTTAAGGTCTCTCCCAACCAAAACCATTCTGTGATTCTATCATCTTCTGTTATCTTACTCAAACTCTGCTATTTCATGCCTTTTGGGGAGGAACCTTTGCTACCATAGGCAAATTCACTACGTTTGTTGCACTTAAAAACTCTCACTGCCCTTTAAATTGGAAAAAGACTCAAATATATCTCAGTGATGTAATTTGTATATGTTTGTCTTTTTTTCATTAATGATGTTTCATCAAGCCATTTCCACTTAATAAATTTGATGATTAAGAAAAAATAAACCCACCTTGTTACCAGTTTTCAGATAGCAATTTAATACTTAGAACTGGGTTAACTTAAATTATATGTACCTTTAAAGAACAACATTGATGAAAGACTACTTGGAGAGAAGCATTTATATGCATAGGTTCAATGTAAAAAAAAGGATATACCTATACATACACCTTCTTTAATCTAGAACATCATACATACTCCACCGAAGAATGCCAACCTTTGCTACCCTGTTTGGATACTCAAGCAATCCTATAGCCAAAAAAACAAAAGTACCAATATCCAGCCCAAAGCTTTCCATATTTTTTAACTAGATTTTTTAAAATTTAATTTCATTAGTCCAATTCTGATTTACACATAACTTTAAGAACAATTATGAGAAAAGTTCTATTCAGTGTCAATCAGATGGCATGTGCAGGCCTTCAGGTAAAAGCTCTGCACTTTCTACCTGTATGTAAATCACTGTCTATGTACACATTCCTTCAATATTTTCATATCCATGGCATTTGGTAGGTACAAACAAGGCTAAAACCATGTAGCAGATTGTAACTAATTTATTCTTCTCTCAACTAGGCCTTAGGAGAAATGTACACAAAACATTTAAGATATATTTCCAGCACTTACTTATTTGATGTTTCCAAAGGAAACACTGCCAGGATAATCTACATAAGAGTACCAATGTCCAAGTAGACCATATTTTGCCAGTATGTGATAAAAGTAATTGCAAAAGCCTATTATACATTAAACAAACTAGGCTTAAAGAAACCACATAAATGCAAGAGAAAAACCAGAACCTCTGCCTACAACACCTAAGCCTCCTCTTCTACACCTGCCCTGCACCACCACTGACTTCCTGACACATCTTTTCTCCCAACTGAACAGGAGTCAGCTCAGTCTTGATCGTCTTCTCAGTGGCAGCATATTGAAGAATTTAAACCTTAGCAAAGGAGGAGGTCAAATACTTATTTCATACTTTCAGAAGCTTCTTTGTAACTACTGAACTGTTTTTAAGACCACAATTCTGTTTTTTGACTACTGCTGTCATGTAGCTGTCACATACTAAAGAAATCCCTCAGGATAGCCTGCTGCATTTCTGTATATCTTTCCCAAGTTCTTTAATGACTTTAAACCTACTGACAAGTGCCACCACCAATGCAGCTGGAACAGTTACAGCTGCATCTGCTGGCAGGTACAGCTCAGGAAGGAGATATTGAAGTCA